AAAAAAAAAACACCCCAGCATTGCGTGTTGCGCCCTCCCTCTCTTGGGGTGCAGCTCTTTGAGCTGAAGAATCCTCCGTTACATTGAGGAGAACACGACAGATGGGGCAGGCAAGTATTTCTGATTATTTTCGAAACTACAGTTTGTGTGAAAGTGAAAAAATATCCGAGCGTGAAGCAACAGTACAGTATGAGGGTCGATGGGAGTTGTTGTTGATTTTTTTGCCCCTTTTTTATCATTGCACTTATCATTTTATTATTATTTGATTTTCAACTTATCTCTTCCCTTTTGATTTAGTGCATTTGTTCATTTAATTTATCCTTATTTCATAAATCCCAGGAAAAATGAATATTAATCGTTGATTCGTCACGGGGATGCTGTTCTGATTGTACATCAAAGACAATAAAGAGAAAACCCTGCGTTAATATGGGTGAGCTTTTTTTTTTTTAATGAATTTGGATGAAGGGTCTTCTGAAGTTTATGAATAATATTCTTTGGTGGATAGTGATGGCGGAAAGCGAACGAGCTACAGGGCATCTCGCCACTTCTGGACTCGATCCAACGACCTCACCAGCATCTAGGCTTCAATGGCTGAAACAGCGTCGTGAAGCACTCCAGGAGAAACTAGCCCGTAAAAATAATGAACTGAAGAAATTGTGCATCAGTGAGGCAGAATTGACGGGAATTTTGCCTCCGGAGATACCATTGGATCCTGGAGAGAGTCCTCCAATATTCCGGAAACGCGTTGGAACTTCATTCAGCTATCCCCAGAATCTTATCAATAAATTGAAGACGAATCAGGTGGAGGAGTCAGCGCTGGAGCTGGAACGTCAGGTGCAAGCAGGAATTGCAACAGCAGCCTATGCAATCGTGAACGACCTCTCGGAGAGCAAAGCAGTGCGTCGGAAGCACCGATTGATCTACCAACAAAGTCAGAAAAGACTGAAAGACCTAGAGTCACGTTTGAATTTCCTTCGCCAGGGCTACGGCCAATTATCCCGAACAACTGCGCCAGTTCCAGATTCATGGCCAGGAGATGAGGATGCTGACCAGGAAGGCCCAACAAAACACCACAAAACAAAAAAGCCACGTCCACCCCTGGAGCCAACGGATCGAGAAGATCCAAAGTTGAATGATAAAAAATGGCAAGAGACAGAAATAAATACAATGGCAGGTGCCACTCAGATGAACGACTGGCATCGCACCAGATCGCGTTACATCAAGCCAGATATGCACTCAGGAACTCTTCCAGCACTGAATACAGTCGACCAGAATGAAAATCTGGATCTCTATCTGTACAATGATCAGCCGAGGGTTCGAACGTATTCCCATGGCAATTGGGACGAATCATCAAATGCACTTCGCAATCTCAAGCCTAATCAGATCGAGGAACGCTCATACCGAAAAATATCCGATATGTACGCGCTGGACGCTGAAGTACGACAGAAGGATCACTGGCAGCAGAAAAAACTGATGGAGCACAAATACAATTCATCGATGTACAATCCTAATCAACGACATCATATCGATTCTTTCCAGTACAAGCAGCAGCATCACCAATTCAAGAGTAAATCACAGCAGAGTTTTTACCAGGAGCCACCGAGGGATAAATCGTCGCCGGATATTGGAAGTATTCAGAGCCTGCCTCAGTATCGGTATCCACCACGTCCCAATCACTCGAGTCATGCCAATCACAATGTGTTGTCTCACCCACTGATGGAAAATCAGAGACACCAGGATCACGAGTTCGTCCAGACCCGAAAGAATCCCTCGGAGACAATGGCACGAAAAAACCGGGGAAGAAAATCGAGTGAGAGCTCCACTTGGTGTGTTGAGGAGGGCGTGTGGTACCCCCCACCTGTTGATAATTACCAGCACAAGGACAATTTTGGGAGTTTAGATCGGAGGAAACATACGACAATTGGGCGAGAGCCTGGAATCACCAGGGATCATCATCTCACCACTCAGCATCGTCTGGAGCATCTTCCACCACCTCCACCTCCACCTCTTCCACCTCCACCCCACTCGAGGATGTTGCTGAGGACTCAGTCATTGGGAAGTGTTGAAACCTGGCAGTCTGGGGCCTCTGGAATCTCAGGCAGTGCCACCATGGGACGACCTCCTGGGGATATTGAGAGGTATCAGGTGGAGAGGCATCAGGAGAAGGAGAAAGAGTGGTATGAGACGTCCATGGATCTTGGCTATTCCCCGCAGCAAGTACCACCAGTTCAAAGACATTATCCAAGGTCTTCGCCCTCTCCTTCCTCCATATCGTCTTCACCCAAATTACTGCCCTCTCCCTTGCCACCTCCTTCACCCTCTTTCAATGATATTTCTGTCAAGATATCACAAAGCACTGAGAAGGACCTGGAGATTCCTGCAGAAACCTCCAATCACGCTGTCAAGTATCAACCCTATTTGGAGGTGACCAAACCCTTCGAGATGAGTGACTTCTATAAGTATTCTACTAAATTCAGAAAGAAGACTGAAGGTAATCAGAGAAGCGAACAGAATAATTGCAATGGCAATAAAATTGTTAATAATAACAATGCGAGCTTTGCTAACAATAATATTAATGCTGACGAGCATCATCATCAGACTGCACCTTCGGGCTCATATGGCCCTAATGTTCATAGGAGGGGGTACGAGACTCATATGATCGCACGCACAATGTCAAGGAAAAATGAAGGCAATCGTGAATGGACCAACGCAGAAGACTGCAGAGTACCTCCAAAAGACTCGACAGTTGTCTGAGTCTGAATTTGTGGCCTTATAAAATAAATATTGTAAATATGATTCATCGGTTAAGGCATACACGATATATTCTTCGAATATCAAGTATTTTCATATTTGACTTTTATTATTTATTGATTGATATTGATCATTCGGGTAGATCTAAAGCTTTATTGTTCGTTTCTCCTTCTTTATCTTCAAATAACAGGAAATTTGACTTGCTGTGCAGATAGTACGTTGAATAACAATGTAGCCTATAGTAATTAATCACCAGTGTTTAGGGATTGAATAATAATCCATCGGACAATTAATTTCCTGATCACAATTTTTTTTTTTCGAACCTCCAGTAATTATGATTACTTTATAATTATCTCATACACGTGTATTTTTTTTTATAACAAAATATATTCTAAAACGAAATTATGGACGAGACTTTTTAGCGTATCTACGATTATAGTCCCTTATCAGCGCTATTTTTTTTGTATTTTTCCCTTTTATTCATTTTTTTAATATTTTTTATGTTTTTTTGTCATTGTTTTAAGTCTTTACGAGCTGAGAAAACGAGAATTGGCTTTTTAAATAAATATGAATCTTGTAATTGAATCTTCATTGGAACCCCAGGGGCAGAATCTATTTTTTTTTTTATTACGAGAAACATACGGTGCATTTTTGAAGTATATTGTATCACAGATTATTGGTATCTCGTGATCTCATATTTCCGACGAAAAAAAAAATGAAGAACTTTGTCGTGAGGTTGAATGTACAGAACGGATGTAATGAGTATCATTTCTTGTTTTTTTTTTCTTGAGATATGCATCAAAATAGCCAATGCTGATAATGGTGTTTTGCGTTTCTCGAGGCAATACGAAATAGGCACAATGATAAACACAAAAATTGTAATAAATGTTATTAACAGTTAATTAGTCGTAGGGACCCAATCGCGACCAATCAGAGTCCTCGGAGTCCGAGAAAAGAACGACCACTTCATCGTGATCGTCCATGTAGATCCATCCGTTTTCTCTTTCCTCGAAAAAGTTCCATAAGAGTAATTGCTGAAAATAATATCGCCAGATTCATTAATTCATTATTAATTGACATGAATTATTCACTCATTATAGCAAAATAGACTAGTGAATAATAAAGAGATAATTACCTGCAAGAAATCAAGATCAACTTCGCCATTTGAAGCTTGACGAGCTGGGGGTCCTACATCTGTCTTGGTACCATCGGGTAATGCATGCAAGTAAAAACATTTATTTCCAAATGGACATTTTCCTTGGCCCTTGTTGAAGTACTTGCAATCCTTTTGGCTAGAACAGCAAATAAAATTTATTCATTTAATCCTGATTGACAAAGGCGAGTGTCGAGTGAGATTTTTAATGCGTATTTTTAATCCGAGGGATGAGAGGGACTACAATAGTAAATACCTAAGAGCACTTTTGTAGTCAACAATGAGTTTCTCTTTCTCCTCTTTAGTATCGACCCAATAAGCGCTGGGACAGACGAAATCAGAGGCAACACGACACTCTGGACATGAGCGGATTATTTTGTTATCAAACTGCTTGGCCTGTCTCCATTTGCGTATACAACTGAGACAGAAGCAGTGATTACAGTTGGGGAGGATTCCGAATCTCTGCTCACGTGATGATTTTTCCATAACAATCTCGAAACATACACCGCATGCTTTATCTCGACTGCGTTGTACAGCAAATGACAGCTCCATATCAGCCTCGTGTTGTTTTATGCACTCCTGGAATGTTGAATAACATTTTCCATAGAATTATTCCCCCATATTCACGTAACGCAGGTTATAAACCAAAGACACGAATCTCAATCCATAAATTGCAATTCATACAATTCAATTACATTTTAAAATGCGCATGATTCATGCCTTTTATTATGAAACCAAAAAATTTTCATATCCAAATGTTTCGAGTGCAATACGTAAGGAATTATCCATCCGATTTGATGAATCAGTGATTGATTTAGAAATCGATCGATCCTTGGATAGGAAAATAAAAATAAAAAAATGATCAATAATACGAACATTGGTGTGTTTCTGGCTGAGTTCCTTATTGAATGGATGAAGTGCAGCTCTCCCACAAAGTTCACAAATATCTCCATGAAAATACGGACAATCGAGTCTCTTGCAGACTCCATTGGCCTCAGCATATGGGCACAATGGGACAGATCCAGGATTCTCGGTAGCCCCACTATTACTAACAGCTTTAGCATAAGATGCTGGCGGACTTCGATATAAGACCGTCTGACCGTCTGCACCGGTAGAAGGTACAAACTCGGGTGCATTAACCCATTCATCAGGTTTGCAATTTTTCCTATCCTTTCCAAGGATCTCCTCACCTCTCCGCTTGTTCAATCGACTGCCCTCTTTCGAGCTCGTGCTTGTGGTACTACTGACAGATCCATGAAATGATGAAGAAGCAGTCGCCACTGTTCTATCACTTGTCTTGACATCTTTCTCAGATTTCTGCTCACGATTCGTTTGAACGTGATTGAATCTACATCGATTACCAAATTTACACGTGCCCCACTTGAAAAAACGACAGGGAACACTTCCTGATGCCTTTGGAGATGTCTCTGATATACTGACATTGTCCTCCATGTCTGATTCCTGATTATCAGCATGACGATAACGACAATTCTCCTCCTCTCTGCAGGCACCGTTCTTGTAATAACTGAAAATCGATCAGAGATCATGTCAACAATTTTTGTCATTGTTATAAAATTATTATTAGAAAATCGGAGAATACAGTGGCCATTGTCTCATGAATTTTCATGCTAATTGTCACGCACCATGAGTCGATTGGTTAATTACTGGACGACAGAATGAACAGTTGAATATATTTTATCTGTTTCTCACCGGCAGACAATACTTCGTGTCCAGTTGTTGTCGGCCATTTGCTCGCACATGTATTACACTTATGAACACGTAGAAAAAATTATTCCAACCTGCGAATTACTCACGAAGATGGATTATTACGAGTAATGAGCTCTCATGACATTTAGTTATTGAGGGGTTCACTTTGCTTTATTGCTCCTGACACTCGTTATTTGTTTATCCGTTTATTATTATTATTTTTGTTATTTGTTATTATTATTATTATTATTTCATTGACTACCTCAGCATTTCGGTGAGATTTTATGGAGTTTACTGGGATCTCAGGAGTTGAAATTGAATTGAAGATGATTTGGTAATTCTATTTTACTTTTAAATAATTAATTGCAGTGGCTCGTATTCGTATTGATAATTAAAAACTAACCAAACATGTAATTTGGCACTGGCTCCAATGATTTTTATTATTTCAACTTAGGTTTAGGCACTGTCAGGCACTATTGCAACTTGTGATCATGATTTATCGGTTATTATTGGCTCTGTTTGCTGTAATTGGGTAAATGGGGGGCAATTAGTGATGGACAGTTCTGAACGTAGATGATTATGAGGTGTATCCGAGAGGATGATTATTTAGTATTTGCTCCCATGTTTCCAACATTCGCAAACACGTGAATTTAATTCAGAGAAGATCTTGGGAATTGCTCGGATGGATTGGAGACTGTCGAATCACCTTGTGATGCTTTTCACCGAAGAAGATTGACCTGGGTAGACATCCGGATCGAGAATGAGAAATTTTAGTACCGATCCCGGTGCACGGAGGGTGCGACCGTCTGTGCTTTATAAAAATTATGAAAAATTCTGGACAAAACATTGAACTATTGTTCAATGAGAATTCCAACGACTTTAATTGATAATTTCAAGATATGTATGTCGTCTAGACATAACAATCAATTTTTCTTTTGGTACAATTTCGACTTTTTGAGAGTACAAAGGAATTAGGAGTGATGTACGCTGGCGCGCGCTCTGACGCTCTTTCCGCCATAACACTTTTCAGTCCATGCCTTTTTTTGCCTAGCGCCCCCCCCCGGGCTGCTCCGTGGCGAACCGACCAACCAACCAGATCCACGGATAACGACTCCCCCCACTTTAGCTCGCCAATCACCACGATTCCCCCCACTCTATCTGTACCTCTCCTATGCCGTTATCGACACACAGCTTCGTGCCCTGCCTTATTCACGGGTACGGCCTCTGACTGAGTCATGCAACGGCCGTTCCGAAATTTCGCAGTAAAATTTTTGCCCGTAACCATGGCTGATCTCCCCGATAATCGATTTTTGCCCGGTAGCTATTATGCTCTCCTTTATAGATAAGAATTGAAGGAAGGAAAAATGATAAAGAAGACGAATAAAGGAGGGCCTTTTATACGATCAATAATTTATTCATTTCTTATACAGGAGGAAAAACGACAAACGTAATTCATTATTTATATTTGTATTAGTTTTCATAAGGTTTAAAACAGTGAAAATAGCACGAAACTTATCATTCAACAATTGTAATATGTCTGGTTTCTTTTCACTAGTGAAAAATAAAATGATAATCCATCCAATAGGCAATTGTTCACGTGTCTATTTAACGAAAATTATTCGTTGATAAATATTCTATGTAGAAACTGTTGATTGAGCGTCTTTTTTCTCACTTGTCATTCAGTAAATTAAGATTTTTCGTAGTTTCTCACTGCTATTCACCTCACAAGCCTAACAAACGTTTTTTTTTTTTGTCTAGTATCGTGATAAAATGGGGATAATTTTGTTGAATGCCCCATCGATATTTTCTCGTTATCAATTCACTCACGAGAAACGCAAAGAAAAAATGTAAAAAATAATTAAATACAAATATTGCGCATCCATTGAATCTTTTTCCCCACCTACTCCTCTCGAAATATTTACACAGAATACAGTGTGGCAGGTTTGCCGGATAAATTCGCGGGCTTCAATCATTATTCAGATGATTTTCTCCTCTTGATGAAGTTAAATCGCTGCCCCGATTAATTAAAAGGTGTCCACCCGTTGCGATCAACTCCACAAATTTTTTCTGCAATGAAAAATACGTAAATTCATTATTGCCTTTGAAATTCTGATATCAAATAATCCCAATGAATTTATTTATAAAAAGAAATAAATTAAATACTCACGCCGGTCGTATATTTTTCGCCATTAAATTTCCCAAGGGATTTGTACCTTTCTTCTTATTATTCCGGCATTTCTTGACATATGCCTCGACCAAGTGAGCGATTTTCTTTGGATTTATCTCGCCAGTTTTGTTGTGACAAATCTGCAATCCCAAAAAAAAAGAAAGCATTATATATCAGGGTCCAATATTACATGAATTCGAAAAACAAAAAAAATGAAGAACTCACTTTGGGCACAGCTTTTCTCATAATGTCCTTGTACTCCTCCTTCGTCACATGTTTCTTGGTATAATGAGGTTTCAAGACAAGTTTAACCTCTTCGACAACTCTCTCCTGCCTATTCAACTTCTTCAAGAATTTATCCTTCACTTGCATTTCCACAGCAGAGCTGGGTAAATCATCAAGAATTCGAAGTTCATTCTCCTCATCGAGCTTGACACCAACTTTAGAATTAGTGGTTCGTTTCCTCTTATCAGTGGCTTTCTTCCCCCTGTTCTTTCCACTCTTGACAATTGGAGATGCTCCAAACAACGCATCAAACGCATCCTTTTTACTGTCCCCCTTGGCACTCTTAGCCTTTGCCTTGCCACCGTGATTCCCAGACAAATTTGCCGAAGGACTGGTGGCGTGTCCGTGATGATGAGGTGGTGGATCAAAAATTCCGTCACTGAGACTGGAACCTGGTGAATAGGGTGATGAAAAATCCTGTGCAAGTCCAGCAGCAGCTGCATCACCCTCAGCCCCTTCATTGCCATTCTGCTTGTTAGATACAGCATTAACTTTAGATCCCCTGAGAGTCATCCCTTTGACAGAATTCATAAATAGATTGGAGACCTGATTGGCAGCTCCCGTGGTACGCTGTTTGATCTGTGCATTGGAAAGATTTCTCTGAAAACCGATTCGATTAACAGTCGCTGTAACCGTCGCCAGCACCGGATTAATGGTCGTGAAAGGATTTCCAATGCTCGTAGAAATGCCACTGCTGCCTTTACTCTTGTCCTCGGACTTATCCAGATTGATATTCCCAGTTGTCGACGGAGACGACGCCCTCTTGATAGTGATCATGGATATGATTTTGGGTTTCTCCACAACTTCTCGTTTCTCATTCGAGAAATTCTCTTTTCCCTGGGACAACTTCAACGAATCATTGGACGTCAATCCTGAATCGATACCTATCGATGTCTCTTGGGAGGCTGTAGGTGTTGGTGATCGTGATTTGGTGGGATCAAAGGGATCATAAGCATCCGGTGAGGTTGGTGGTGATGTGGGTGGTTCTGGTGGTGTATTGGGTCCAATTTTTAATCTCATCTCGAGTTCATCCTGATTTCTCCTCTCCTCTGAACGATCGTGTTCCATCTCCACCTGATTGGCATTATCAGTCTGCTGAGAGAGGGTTCTCTCGTTCATTTCTAGTATCTCCAAGGCTTCGAGATCGTCCAACTCCTCTTCATTACTGTCTCCAACGATTATGATATTATTATCATTAGCCTTGTGCTCCTCATCACGTGATTGATCGTTGGAGTTGAGTAATTCAGCTGCTAAATCATTGATTAACTTGGCATCATTCTTCCCACATTTTTCATCGCTGCTCTTTTGATGCTGCACATTTGTGCTCTCGTCGTCATCGGCATCATCATCAGCATCATCATTATCTCCATCGTCATCTTCATCTTCTTCCTCCTCATCCATCAGGGGATTTATCATGCTGGGCCTCAAATTACTGGACTGTTTATTTATGGAGAATTTGATCTGAGGCTCCGGTGGTGTCTTTGGACCAACGAATTCATCCCTCTGCGATGCTAAATTGTCATCCTCGTTCTCCTGCTGCTGTCCCTCCTCGTCGTGTCGCGTGTCGGATGATTTTTGCTGCTGCTGTTGATGCAATATTCCAGGAGCTATGGCATTCTGCAGCTGCTGCAACTGCTGCTGGAGCTGATTGGAGTCGTTATCGTCATCATCGCTGAGAACAATAATATCCTTAGGAGATGGTGTTTGTTCCCTGAATGGCGACTGATCGAGATCAATAACAGCCACTGGTTTTTTGCTGGCAGCAATCTCGGCGGCTTTTGATTTCTTCTTCTTTTCCCTTCGAGCCCGTAATTTAGGCTCTGGTGATTTAGCCCGTTTATCTTTGGATTTGTCCTTCTTTGGTTTCTTCGAAGGAGGCTCTTTGGTGAGAGCACCCATCGGTGTGATTCCAACTTCTCGATAATTTCTTCGTTTTCTTTTTTTGCTCGTCAGAAGGGCTATTGTATCAGCAAGCTGATTACTGATGCTGTCACCATTGGGTACAGCCATTGGAACTTTATCACCACCGATCGAACCGATATCGTTGACATTGTCATTATTGAAACAAACACTGACCAAAATATTATCACCACTTGCGAAAACTTCCTTGGAGGGTGGAGGTGTACGATTTCTTTTGTCCCTTTTCTTTATTCTATCGGGATCATCTCTTCGTTTTCTCCCTTCCTTCAATCGTTTCTCTCTCCTCTTCTTCTTAATAGCCTCTTTATTCGTCAAAATAACAGTGAGATTTTTTGGTGGAACTGGCTCAAGTCCAGGACCATTCGATCTCGATCTCGATCTCGATCTCGATTTCGTCTTGGATCGTGACCACGAAGGGGTCCACTGGGCTCCACTCCACGACGACTGATTCTGCGACGGATGATTCATCTGATCTGTTTCATGCATTCCCGTTGACAACAGGGTCATCGGTGCTGGTAAATTCGATGCCCTTATCGGATACCCACGATCGATTGATCGAGACACATTAATTCCCTCCCAATTTCTCGATGTAGATCTCTCCCTAGATCTCGACTTTCCCACAACAATTTTCCTCTTTAATCTCTTCTTTGCCTTTTCCCTTCGAACGACAGGCAGGGGGCTCTTACTCCAGGATCGTTTTCGCCGCCTGGATCGACTCCTTGACTTGTGCTTCTTAACTTTTTCCTTTTTTCGGGATCTCGATCTCGACTTGCGTTTCCTCGAGGGCAATCTCTTCACGTGATTTTTCCTCGCTCGTCGATTGGACAACGATCTTCTGCCACGACTCGGTGAAGCCGATCTCGATCGTTTCTTGGACAACGATCGTCTTCGTGCATTGACAACCGGTGATTTTCGGCGTGATCGTGATCTCGATTGAGTGCGGGGTCGTGAGTGAGATCGAGATCGTGAGCGTGTGTTAGATCGAGATCGAGAGTGACGAATTGATCTGGACCTGGACCTCGATCTCGATCTCGAGTAGCGTGATGACACTCTAGAGCCCCGAGACAAGGATCTTCTCCGGTGATTGGACCACGACCTTGACAAACGCCTGGGCCATGACCTTCTGGCTGGTGAGTACGAGTGACTCTTTCCCCGCCCCAAACTCCGCCCCCTCGATCTACTCCTCGAGGAAGCCCTAATGTCTCGCCCATACTCATCCTTTTTCGGCCTCACTGGTTTCTCCGCCACTATTTTCCTCACATCGTACCTCGCCAACTCCTTCCTCTTCTCCTTCTTCCTCGTCTCTTTACCACCAAATCCCAGAGCGCCTCGCTCCTTCGATTTCCTCTTCTTTCCACTCTTGTCCTTATCATAATCCCTGTCCCTCTCCCGATCTCTATTACGATTTCTCTCTCGATGTCTCTCCTTGGACGGCGATCGTCTCTTCATCTTCTCCCGATACTGTCGCTCCTTCGTACTCTTTGATAATTTTTTCCAGGACACCTGATTATTATCAGAAGTATTCTCCTTATTCTTATCAGCTTCCTTATTGCTCTCCGATTTATCCCGCCTGTCTTTTCTCCTCTTTCCATCCTCCTCTTTGTCTGAGTGAAAATCCATCCTCTTCTTCTTGGGTCTACCCTCGTCCATGGTGATCTCTCCGTCCTCGATTTCCTTATCCTTGCGATTCCTTGGTGATAACATCGCCGATGGATCGTCCTCGAAGCTGATGGGCTCGTCAGTCTCTGAAATGGCCTCTGTCCCCAGACCGGCGTAACCAATTGGTGTTCTGCATCGATCCAAATCATCGGTATCCTTAGGAGGTGGAGTTATCGGCTCTAATCCACTCTCGAATTGAGACTTCACCGTCTCCTTGTCTATCACTGGATTCTCGTCCTTGCAGGGGGTGTATGCCCCGTCAGAGTACCAGCCCTCCAGATTGTCCTCCACCGAGGACTTCACCTCGTTTGATAAATTCTTGTCCTCCTCACCCTCTCTATTTGGATTGTCGTCTTTCTCCAGCTGAAAGTCTTGGCTCAGGATGCTCTCGTCCTCGTTTATTACATCACTGCTCTCACTGACGCCACCACTGTGTTTATCTTTATTGTGGACAATTGGGGGAGTACCACCTCGATCACTGCCCCCACTCGATATCGAATCATTCTGTTTGTCAGGATCTTCTTCAGGATCAAGAGGCTGACTTGTTTCTAAATCCTCATCGTCGGATTTGTCGTCGGTCTTTTTATCAGACTGTTTTTCCTCGTCCTCTTCATCCTCCTCATCCTCCTGGAGCGCTTTCTCTTCAGGTAATTCCGGGATTTTTTGGGGGATCTCTTCAACTTCTTGATCAATCGATTCTTCGACTTTTTTGTTGGAAACTTCTTCGATCGTCTCATCGATTTGAATGTCGTGTTCAGTAACTGAAGTTTCGAGTTCCCTTTCCTGCTCAATCATCGTCTCAATATTGTCATCTATTTCATCGTAAAGAGAGCTCAATTTATTCATCACTTTACTCTTATTTCCAATTTTGAAAGTGATTTTTCCCCTCGAATCGGTGGATATTTTTTTAGATGGAATTTTGCTCAAGTGTTGTCGCTCTTTCCTCAGTGATTCGACATAGGGATCGAAACTCGGTGCAGGCTCTGGGATGTCTGGTGTATTTACCCTCTCAACAGGTGATTCCTGAGGAAGAGGTGCTGATTCTGGCTCCTCTGGAGCATCGGGCACAGGGTAAGGACTGGTGTCATCATCAGGGATATCTGGTGGTAGTGGTGGTGGTTCCAGTGGTCCAATATCAATCTCCTGCGACAATTGCTCCTCGGCACGTCTGGCGACATCCATCGTCTCCGAAGAGTAGATGGAGAAATTTGGACAATCAGCCTGAGACTCCTCATCCGAGTCAGCGTCCTGAAAGGGATCGTACTTGTCGAAAAATTTCTGCTCACTCGTCTCTGCATTCTCATCCTTCTCCACCTCCTTGATCTCTCTCTCCGGCTCTTTATGCGAGTCATCAATCACCAGGTCCTCATTATCCGATTCCCTGCTGTTGGTCTCGTAACTGTCAGACTTGAGATTCTCTTCAAGGTCTAAAAGTAGCTGAGAGGGTGGCTCAGGTGGTGGAAGAAGCACTGACATTGTGCAGTCCCTCTCCTCTTTATTCTCAGATGACTCGGCCCTCTGATTCTTCCTGTCATCCCTAGCCTCGATATCCGCATAGATATCACAATCCTCTTCATTCCCCTGAGTCTCAGCCCCACCCTCGATCCCTGAAGACTCCACTGTATCAAGTCCACATTCACTCTCAATTTTATCAATTCTATTCTCTCCCGCTGACGAGGATTCGCCAGGAACATTTGATTTATTTTGCTGAATATCCCCAGAGTAATTCTCACGAGGTAATGAACAAGTAGCAGGACAATCAGGAGGTGGAGGAGGTGGTGGCGGTGGTGGCGGCGGTGGCTGTGATAGCATCGGTGGGGGAAAATTCGGCTGAATAATTGGAAAAATAGGATTAATATTGTCACTGGGTCCTCTGAACATGTGATTCGGTGGTCTCGGTATATTTGGCATCATTGGCATACGTGGTCTATTGTCATTTCGAAAATTCGGTGAATTGCGAAATCGAAAGGACGAGTTGAAATTGTGATTGATGCGATTATCAAAATTTGGAGAAAAATCAGGCATTCCTGGTGATTGTCCGCGTTCACGATGGAGAAATCCACCACGTGGTGACATTCCAGCACCCCTCGCATTGTAGTTGTGTCTGCCACCGGAGTAAGAGTATGAGTCCCTTCCACCGTGATAATTACCTCCTCTGCCACCTCCACCACCTCCACCACCTCTAGGGCCTCCACCTCCACCCCCTCGTGATCCATTGTACATTGGGGCCTGAGTGATGTCCTCCGAGCTCACAGAGGAGAGATCAAGTGGCTGTCCTATTTTTTTATCGATAATCATATCAGAATTATCGCCCAGTGGTTTGGTGATGCTTTTGTGAGAGTTATTGCCATTGCAATTTTCATCGTTATCTGATGGTAGCAGAAGAGTCCCATTGGCCTTGAGTGTGATTTTATTGGACTTGGAGTGCCACAATTTCTGACTTCCCATGATGCTGTCCAGAAGATCCATCGGTGACTGTATCTGCTGAGGAGATGGAGCTTCTCTGGGCTCCAGAAGCATTCCCTTGAGAGCTAGTCGTCTTCTTGTCGATGAAATTGTCACATTACGACGTTGAATTCCTACTATCGAGCCCAGAGTCAGGCCAGGTGAATCGAGCATCGTCTCGTCGTCAGACCTGTTGATTATTTTTCTTAATGACTCCCTTAGACTAACGATCGCTCAAACTTCATGGCCACGTGATAGTATTTTTAATTATTCGAATTATCCCAATGCCGAGGATATTTGGGGGAATTGTCAATTGCTGAATTCCTACAATCCCTCGTACTCGAGATAAATCTATACAAATGCTTCTCACGTTTGACACAAAGCTTTTATTTTCCCTATTGCTCTAGTAAATAAACTCTTACCCAGGCGGACTGTAATCAAGCCCCAAATTATTTCCAAACAAGCTAACTTGTGATATTCCAGCACGAAATCTGGCATTCGTGAGATCAACAGCATTCCTCACGGTTCCCTGATTATGAACGACTGGTTCAGCAACATTCGGTATTTTGGCCCTTCCCTTAACCATCCCCAATGTCATAGCAAGCCTTTTTTTCACACCCTTACCATATAGGGAGGATAATGCACGTCGTTTTGTTGTTTTACGTTTTAACTTCTAGAATGAAAAAGACAAATTTTATTTTTTGGTTTTATATCATTTTTGTTTTATTTTGAAATTATGTTAATTAGAGAACAGTTAAAAAATTGCCAATTCCAATGCCAGATTTAATTAATTTTCTTTCTATTTTCTTTGAAGACAGAATGGTCATTAATTTGTTTTGTCGTTGCGTTTTTCATTACACCCAAGTTATTACAATCGTTGGTACTAAAAAGAGGGAAACATAAATTGAGCAAAAAAAAAAAAATGCAGTGAATGAAATTGAATTCAATGAGGAAAGTAAGAATTAAATGATGTATATTATGTATGAGGATAAATAAATGACTTATGCTCTCACATTGATTATACACTACAAGTGGAGTTAAATGTGAATGTAATTACGATGAAATTGGTACCTTGCGCGTTCTTTTAGTACGCTTGGTCTTCCTCTTGGCTGAGGATGTCTTCACTTTGACATAAGTCACTATTTCCTTCTCCTCGCCAGCGTCATTAATCTCACGAATACGAACTTCACGAACTTCTGAATTACCACTGGCTTTTGACGTTTTCCTAGTGGTTTTCCTCCTGCGAGGCTTCTTGGCAGATAATTTGCTCTTTGCTTTGCCCTTTCCATTCCTGGACATGGCAGCACTCACACGTTGAATGACAGAGGCGAAAAAATCATTACGACTATTGCTGTCGTAAATGGATTCAATTCCAGATGATGTCGAGGGCTGATCTGGATCAAAATGACGAATGCTCTGTTGTCTACGACGATCGGCACGAATGTTGGCTCTCACTCGTTCTGTTTGACGTGTACGTGGAATTCTACGTATGTTTGATGAACTTGGGGTGGATAGGGGATGGGAGAATTCCTGGGGGACACCTGAACGTGTCCGACCGTACGTTGTGCCGAGGCATCGAGCCTCAGCAATCAGATCTTGCAACTCGTCCATGTCCATATCTATGGATTCAGCGAGATTTGGATTGGTCTCAACGCATGTCGGACAGTACCACTCCTCCATGGGCACTCGATCCATCGGGGGATTCAAACACTCCAGGTGGAAGCCAAGATCACAACCGTCGCAGAGTAGCATACGATCTTCACGATCGCATTCACGACACACTTCGCAGAATGTCGGGTCTTCTTGGATGTGCTCCTCTGATGGCTTTTTTGGCTCTACTGGAATTTTCTGAACAATCTGCAAAAGATCAATTTATGGCTTAATTAAGTTCAATAGTCTAAATCAATTATTGAATTTTCAGAATTCTTTCAATTGAAACGAAATTTTAATTAATAAATCAGCATAATTCATCGAATTAAATTAAATTCAATGTTGACGTACTTTGCCATTGAGATGGAATCGGACATTGATGTAGGTAAATGGCTGGCGATCGACGGGACATGTATTGACATTTTTACTCCATTCAGTGAGGCATAATAGACAGAAACAATGGTCGCATGTAGCTGGCGTTGCAACTTGTTGTTTCTTGAATGGTAGAAGACATATTGGACACTTCTCCGTTTGTCCATCACTCTCCTCTGAGTCTGAGTGATTCTGCTTGGGGGATTGCGGCGAGGATAATATCTCCAGCTTCTTCGGGGTAACTCTCGATTTTTTCGGAAGAACTTCCTCCCCGTCAGACGAATCTGTACTCAGCCAATCGGACTCCCATGCCTCGTCACTCTCCAGTTGCAATGATCCAGCGTCTTCACTATCACTGGCGGATTCATCCTCGCTGACAATAATTTTAGCTGTACCATTTTTCCTCCTCACAGGCCTCGACACATCACTGTCATCGTCACTACTGTTAACATCACTAACTACTTTGAACACTCTACGTTTTCGGTTGCTTCCAATCACAACGGATTCATCAGTGTTATCGCTACTATCTTCAATGATGCATCGGCGTCTTTTCGATGGCCTTGACAGATCCTCACTGTCACTCGACATTTTATCCCACGCCTGATTCCAGCGTCCTTTTGTTTTTCCTTCAAAATATCACTGGATCTTCACCAGGAGAATCAAACACCCATTACTCACTGGGCCATTGGGAATCTGTAATGCAATTAAATTTATCCATAAAAAAAAAGACAATCAACAATTCAATACAATTCCCCGAAAAATTCACTGCATTCGCTCCACGTATTTCTTATCGAAACATTGTCGAGACTACGCAAGAAAAAAATCACGTCGAACGTTTCCCAACAATGAAATGTGAAAACGTGAACCACAGGGTCATTATTGCAAAATTGAACAATTGAATTACTCACATACTTGATAACCAAAAATCACCAGAACATTCGAATCTCAAAAAAAAGTTATTCCCACTATTCCCCGTGTAATAACTCGTGAAAAAATCCACCAAATGCCAAATTAAAATTTCAGCCTCAACCTCGAATTTACCAGCATCTTCCAAAAATCCTCACCCCTGAATCCTGAATGCTCTGTGATGCTCTTGAGAAAAAAAAAAAATAATAACGCGGTACCCTGGAAAAATCAAAACTAATAAATTCTCAGGAGGGAATTTGGCCCGGAGTATTTCCTCAGCGACGAGAAATGCATTCGGCGGATGCTTTATATAATTAATGAGGAATAACCGTGATAATCTCAAATAAGAATTGTTCTTCAACCTCACTCAATATCCGGACATCTTGACTCACGACGCCAACTTGCGATACAAAATTATGAGGCTATGGCGATCGTTCTGTGCACTCACACATATAATTGTCAAAAGAGTGTTGGCCTTTTTTTCATGCCCCAAAGGGGGCACACGAATTAAAATGGCGTCAAATGTTGAATCACGAATGACAACTGAAAAATAGCTTATCCATTCCAACAAATATAGTCGCGCTTCCCAACAAATCTCGACTGAATAAACGATTATTGTACCAAGTCCATTCGATTTATCAACTCTCATTTACCCCAGGTATTTTGATGTTATTATCTCAGACTTACGCATCACTTCATCGAAAAAATACTATCCGTCATTTCCTGAGCACACGGTTAACTTTTTAATACTCAGCGGTTAATGGCGAAGATTCATTTATTGTAATATATGGGTGGAATTGAGTTGTTGGGAAAGTATCAGAAGTTATGGGTTTCCAGATTGAGTAACGCCGTTGGAGGATTAGGGGTGAAACGCCGATTTCGTGAGGTTTTTTTGTTTTTTTTTAAGAGAGGGGATTGGGAAAATGGTGGTGGTTTTTGGCGGTTCTGGAGACCAGCGAAAGATGGTGACAGCTGTTTCGAGAAGTTTTTGGTTCTCGTTGTTCGAGCTGTGGTGAACATCAGCCTTTTTGTCTACGATACAGCCGCCATCATGGGTCGCATGCACGCTCCTGGGTATGTAAATTCTAAATTACTCGATTTTCCAGGATTTTTCGGCATTATCCGAGGTTTCTGTCGCATCGTGAATTTTTTTTTGGTGAAGGAATCATTCAAATTCTCGGATTATCCCGAATTGGGGAGGGATCCAGTGATCTTTTGGGGTTGGCACATTCTGGCCATGTGTTCGACTCGGTGTCAATGGATTTTTTCTTGGGATTTTATCAGAAGTTTGGCGATCAAGAGTTCGTGGGGATTGATCATGACCGATTTCTTCAATTTTTATGATTTATTTATGGTCTTTTGGAATTTCCAGAAAGGGTATTTCCCAGTCTGCATTACCATACAGACGAAGTGTACCGACATGGCTGAAACTCACGCCTGAAGATTGCAAAGATCTCATTTATAAACTTGCCAAGAAAGGCCACACTCCATCGCAAATTGGTAATTATTTTATTACTACTTACTCCGGGACTGAGGCTTATCCAATTTCTCATTTCTCCATATTTTTATAAAAATGTCTTATAAAAATATTTGAGTCATAATATGATTGATATATTGTTGAATTATTCATGCAAGATTTTTGAGGAAATGTTAACTACAAATTTAACTCAATCCTCAATATAGAAATTGGAACATTTCTTGCTAGAATAAAAATAATTTGTCAGAATTTGAGGCAAACTTTCATATTTTTTTAAAAGTTTGTTATAGGTATCTGACAACATGGAATACCTCATGTATTTATATTCTGAAAGCATTATCATTTCTATTTTTTTTTTTTTTATTAAGGTGTTATTCTTCGAGATTCTCATGGAGTTGCCCAGGTCCGTTTCCGCACTGGAAACAAAATCCTTCGCATTGTGAAGAGCATGGGCCTAGCCCCTGATCTACCCGAGGATCTCTACTACCTCATCAAGAAAGCTGTGGCTATTCGCAAACACTTGGAGAGAAATCGCAAGGACAAGGACAGCAAATTCCGTTTGATTCTTGTTGAGTCCCGAATCCACAGACTCGCTCGTTATTACAAATCCAAGGGATCACTCCCACCAACTTGGAAATACGAGAGCTCTACAGCAAGTGCTCTTGTCGCGTAACGTGTAAAATTCTTTATTATTAAATAAAAACGACAAATTTCCACTGAAAAATATTCGTCTTCTTTCTTTGATATATATTTTTTTTCCTGTATTTCTACAATGGGGAACTGCAAACGTGAAATTATGGACAAGTAATTACAAAATCATTTCGTTAATTGGATCCCTCGTAGTTTTGAGCCTTTTGCCACTTTGCTACCATTGAAGACACTTGTTTTTGTTTCTTGCTGACTACATTTTTCACCTGTAATTAATAAACATGATGAATTGATCAATGGACTATTGAAAAAAAAAATTGATAAAATATTTAACGAGAAAAATTTTGAATGACCTTTTTCTTTCGTTTTTCTTTGTAAACGTCACTGGCAGCTGACAACTTTTCCGTCGTTTCTGGTATCGTTGTCGCGATAGGTTGGGACTCAACTGCAATCAATTGGGGAGATGGAATAGCCTGGTGTTCCTCGACGGGTCTCTCCAATGACGCAATGTCACTGTAGAATGAATTGAGGGCCGACCCCAGGGATTCTTTATTTGTTGTGATCGGTGGTTTCGCTATTACTTGAGTGTTTGTGTAGATCCTGGGAAAATCCAGGAGAAACTGCACAGTGTCTTGACCCGTCAGTCTATTGGCAGCCGCAAGAATCGCTTGCTAAAAATTTTTCAGTTGCACTTCAATTTTTCGGAAGCTTCGGAAGCTATGTAATTAAAATTATGACCTAAGAATTAGATATACATTATGCAAGTGCTGATGATACGCTGGATAATGAACAAGTTGACTCTGGAGGAGTGCTGGATGATGATGTCCGAGGATGGAGACACTTGTTGGATCCTGCATCGTGGCTGCTGCATACATGGACGGAGGATTCGTTGATTGAGGTGCTGCAGCGAAAATAACAGTGGGTTCAATAGAGGGATGACTCCCACCTATCGAGAAAGATATCTCCGGTGAATCAACTCCAGGTGGAAGTGGTTCTGATCCCACCAACGGTGGAAGGGAAACCTCTGGAGTCTCAGGGGTCGAGATCTTATCATCTGTCAATGAAAACCGAATTTATGGAAGTGATATATATTTATATAAATCGAGCTTTCATTTACCAGTAGATTTTTTTTCATCATCACCATTTGCTTTCGATTTTTTTCCCTTCTTCAGATCCTCTGCGTTGATCCGAGGAGGTGGTGGTGGACTAGGACTTGAAATTTGTGGTGGAGGTGGGGGAATCATTTCACTCGATGCATCGGTGGTTTCTGTACAATTTTTTTCATGAAAAATCTCTTAAAAATTCCATGAGAATTGACCAAAAATCTGAATTTCCATGATAATTGAAATTTCATTGAACTTTTTCCATAGCAAAAATAAATGAACAAACCTGTGGGTATCGCGTCATTTTTCCCCAAAACAGGATCCCCCTTGAGTCCCTCTACTCCAGATCCACCAACCCCGTTGATTACTCCAGACTTGGTCTCCTCCATCTCATCAACCTCATTATCCGTTGGTGGAGGTGTCGTGCAAAGTTCCATCTCTTCCGCTCCTCCAATAACATCTGGATAATTCCACCTCGTCTCACCGGTGCTTTCGTTTTGATAATAGTACCGTTTATGAGACCTAGAAACAACCCCCAGTTTCCAAACGCAAAATAATGAGAACGCCATATAAACCAGTAGAATTATTTTTATATCATAAAAAAAGACATTTTTCCCGGAATTTGGTCTTTATTATTTTCATATATAATTGTATACACTAGGATCCCTACCTGCTCTTCTGGGTTGAACAAGGAAATGAGATTACGTGTTAAATAAGTGAAAAATAATTTTTTCATTATTCAAAGGAAATGGGAATCAATGAAAAGACGGAGTGCAAGGCATTCCTGAAAGGCAGATGATCGAATTGTGACAGAAAAGTCGAAGAAAGATCGACGTATTGATTCAATTTTTTTGATACAATCAATAAATAATTATTGGCACGGCTAATGAATTGGTATCCAATGAACAAAGGGGTTGAAACATTAAATCAATGATCGCCACTACTTTCATACATTCCGGTACACCATCCACTGAAATAATACTCGCTTCTTGTGGACCTACAACAGCAAGACAAAGCATAAATCACGAATAATTACATTATAATACGATTATAATACGTACCCTCTGAAAAATCACAGTATGTATTATTGTAGTCATTGGTTTTTGCTTATACATTTTCACATTGAGTTAAATGAGAGTTTTTTTTATTATTATCAACACGATTAATGAGTTTTGGAGAGTCTTTGCATCATAAGTTGTATGGTATCAACGAAATTGTGAATAGAACTAGATTTAATTTAACTTGTGGCATTTTTGAATGATCATACCTATCCCACTGACAGCTCCATCCCGAAGGGGCAGCTACTTTTTCTAAACGACTGAGTTCACGGCTCGTTCCACTCAGCCAATTGTCTAGGTAACGGTCCTTTAGGTCACCACCTTCCCATGCTGTCAGAAGTGTCTGTAATATTGATATTCTAGAGCCATTGCCTTTATGCATTTGAAAACGCAATGTGATTTTTTTATGAAAATGGTATTCCTCACCAAATATTTTTTACTAAATATTACCTGAAGCTGAATAGTCATAATCTGCACTGCAGATGCACTTTGAAAACCCTCAGAGAGGAATTTCAATTTCTCCAAAATGTTATCAATCTCTTGTTTCGTCTGAATTTTCTCTGTCTCATTTTTTTCGTCAATCACTGGTGGTAGATTCAAGGTCTCGCCTCTGACGAACGATATTCCACTTTCATTTTTCTCCGAGTCCATGGATTTCTTGTCCGAATCATTAGTATTCGCATTGTCTTCGCTATTCTCGACACCCAACGGACTCTTCGAGAACCCAAAGCCCAATCTCTCATTATTTCCCCTGATCAATTCACTTTTCTCCCCAGTATCACTGTTCGCCTCCACCTGAACAGCTTTCACTTCATGTTTCGGCCTGACGTCAAATCCAATCCGTCGTTTCCTCTGGAATGCTTTGGTCGGTGCCTCACAAGTCTCCAAAAATTTATTCGCCTTCGAGTTTTCCTCAATCTTCACTGACTTCTTATCGCCGTCAGGGCCATTCAAATTGCTGGCCTCAATGCAATTTGGATTCTTCAATTTTTTCACAACTCCCACCATTTTATCCTCGAATTCAGTAATAGGGAATAACGTCTTACGATTTTTATCCACCACAGATTCATCATCGTTATCAGAATCGTCAGCATAACCAGGCACCAACGAGAATTTCGTCCTCTGCTCGTCAGAATTAACATCCCCATTCTCCCTCGAATTATCTGATGAGCTATTGATTTGAAATTGTGGAAGAGTAGGTCCAATTTTAACATCTTCTCTGTTATCGTCAGCACTCAACTCAGAATTAATATTTACAGGTGAATCATTAGTTTTGGAAATAATTTCATCGTCCACCTCAGACTCACTGCCATCACTTCCAAAAGACGTGATCATCTCTATCCTTCCATCATCAGAATCGCTGTCCCTACTTTCATTCAAGCTCTTCTTCTCCACTTTATCATCAACGACGATTTTTTTCTTCTCCCTGAATCTATTCTTACTCCTCTCAACCACTTCCTTTGGTATCATCCCCTCGGGTATCTTATCTTGCAGTAATTTGTATCTGTTCAATGGTGGAGTGTGCCTCGGTGCTTCGTAGGGTTGAAATCTTCCTGACGTTTGAGGTGCATCCTGATTATTTCCCTTCTTGATGAATTCCTTTGGGATATCCCAGGTCACTTGATTCGTTTGAGTATTCCAGTAATAAGGATAACCTGTCGACTCGTCGAAGCACTCCTGCCAGTGAGATCCACTTTTTTGGATCTCCTGATCTTTATTGGACACAGGTACGGTTGTATTCGGTGTAATGTGCTGAATTTCTTTGAGAAAATCGTCCACTTTCTTGTCCAGACATTTAGTTTTAGAAATTCTTCCAGGCTGGTGGCCATCCTCGTCGTCAGTATCTGAGTTATACTGCTCTAATAAATTTGTCAGTGGATTACTTGGCATTTTTAGTAAAAAACTGACTTGACGTTTGCAAACGTTTGTTATCTGTAAATTAATAAAAAATAATCGACCGTTGAATTCTTGGAAATTAGGTTTTTTAAAATTTTTCGGTGGGATGCAATAATTAATTTTCAACTGTTATTCTCTTGGTGAATGCATAACCTCTGAGAAAACTCAATAATTGACGGCTGGAAATTTTCCGCTTTGTTATGACAAATCAAAGAAATATTTCGTAACTGTTCCTCATTACTAATATTCCGTAATTAAACAAAACTCACGTGCAATTACCTTTGTTTCGGCTAAAATCGTGCGACTGGAATTGTTCCTTTTTCTTCTACTGCTTTCATAAATTAGGTCTATAAGAAATGACGGAGAACATTATATGCCGAACAATTCACAGTACTTACATTGTTTATTTTTTAAAGAGCTGTTTTTGTAATAGTGCACTGAACACTACACTCACGACATGAATTACATATAACGTGACAACTGAGAGAATCATTGACAATCAACCCCATCAGCCCCTTCTCCACAACATCATTGATGTGCATGAAGTGCATCATGTATCGACACCTTCACCTATCGATATATTCGCGTCCCATATTCCATTTGTTAAATAAATATTTATCCACCCGTTACATTGCGTGTAAAATATTCTCTTCTATTTTCGTCATTTGATTAACAATTTTTAAATTGATAATTAAAAATGTTAAATGATCTTTGCTCAATCTGCTCAGTCGATTTTTGAGAACAAATCGATTGGTGTACGAGAATCGATACATTTGAGTTTGCACAAAAGTAAGTGGTTAATTTTTTAAGAAAAATACAGGGAAAATGCTCAAAGCTCCAAAAAATATTGATAATTAATTCCAAGTAATTAATTTCAAGTGTTTCACGGTGAATTTTCTGGCACTTGCTCTACAAAATAATGCATTCCTCCATATTTGCGTTAAAAAAATTGTCTACGTGTAGTTCCAGCTGATGAGCTGTATGTCGTGTCATATTCTGTGAAATTTCCCAATAAAACGTATATTTTCATATTGAATCAGAAGTGTAATTGCACAAATATCAATAATTCAATGCGTAATTCTACGTGAGTATTACAAAAAAAAGGAATGTCCAAAATAATTCTCCAGACGAACCATTGATTTATTTTTTTTGAAGAGGTGTGAAACGTGAATTAGTAGTGACAGGATGAATTTAATAAAATGGGACCAATTGGAGGGTAGTCTGGCCCCTTTATCAAACAGTCAACGAGAGTGGATCGAGACATTGGAAGAGAGAGTCTCCAAAACACTGGCCAGCGATAGTGACGCGCTGCTTGTTGAGAAAAATATTGACGAGAAAGAAATCCACTTGAAGGATAGAAAAATTGACAGCTGCCACGAGCTCCTCCAGTCCTACGCGCTATTGGAATCGAGATACGAGTCGACAGAGTACAAAAGATACTGCATATACCTGAAAGAGCTGAATATTCGCAAAGATGATTGCAACAGTTTATGCATGGACATTGAAAAAGCTCTGGAGGACATGTCCGCCTTGTCCACCCAGTATGGAATTGTCTCCAACAAGACAATGTCCCTTCACTCAGCAACAGAGCAATTAATCGCCGAACAGGAAAAGCTGAACGAAATAGGAAATGAGATAACGAGATACGTAAAATATTTCAAAGAGGCCGATCTGATTATGGACAAGCTGGAGTCTGCGAATTTATCAGTGCGCAGTGATACATTTATTCAGATAACCGACAAGATCGAGACGAATATTGATTTCATGGAGAAAAATGATAAGTTTAAAGAATCCCCGGTGTATCTCGTGAAATACAGACACTGCCAGTCAAAAGTCATTGGAATGATGCATCAGTGGATAATGAATTTATTGGATGAGGCTACTGACAGCATTTTGAGCTCCTTACCCACATCAGAATCCTCTGGAGAAGATCCAATATATCCGGACGCTGATACACAGACTCTGGCTTTGTTGTACGGAAGGTTCCAGAGAATTTTACCCAAGATAAAGCCCATTATTACAATTATTGAGAAACGATCTTTTAAACGACAGGAATATGATAGCCTCTTGCTGGAATGCCATCAGAGGTATCTGATGAAAAGAGGTGGTGTTATAAGTGCAAGTGTCCAAAAAGGCCTTCAATCAGTAAAGGAAAAATACAATGGAGATCATTGCAGTTTCGTACGTCACGCTTGCTCCCTCCTGCTGCACGCATCGATAGACGAACACCGGCTGTTCTATCAATTTTTTGAGAAAAAGTCTCATTTTTTGGCTGGCTATCTCGAGGGTCTCTGCACTTCTCTGTACGATATCCTGAGGCCGTCAATCATCCATATCAATCACCTGGAGACTCTCGCCGAGATCTGCTGCATCCTGAGAATTGAAATGCTAGAGGAGCACGTGCAGAATCACATGGAGGCCCTCGGGGGCTTCGGAAATATCTGCCTCCAGCTTCTCCACGACGCACAAGAGCGCCTGGTCTTCCGCACGCATCTGTATTTACAATCGGACATTCTGGGATACAATCCGTCCCCTGGAGATCTCGCCTATCCCAATAAATTAAAAATGATGGAGGACATAGCAGAGTCACTGCGCGAGGAAAACCGTCAAGCAAAAATCAAGAAGATATCTGTCTCATCGATATCCTCAGTGTCTTCCGTCATTTCTAATCAAGAATTAGAAACCCCCAAGTTTATTCCAATCGTTGGATTCGAACCAATCCACAAATTATCTGGTCCAGTCTCTTCATTCAATCTCGTCAACAATTCCCCAGCTGACCTCCATGGCATGTGGTATCCAACAGTCCGAAGAACTCTCGTCTGTCTGTCAAGGCTGTACAGATGCGTTGATCGTCCAGTATTTCAATCACTCAGCAAAGAGGCTATAAATTTTTGCATAGAGAGCATCGAAAAAGCCAAGGAGAAGATCGAGGCACGAGCAACACCACTCGATGCACAATTATTTCAAGTGAAGCATCTACTCATTCTCCGAGAGCAGATCGCACCATTTCAGGTAGACTTCACTGTCAAGGAGTATTCACTGGATTTTTCCAAAGTTAAAACAGCCGCTTTCGGATTACTCGAGAGGAGATCGAGGGTCTTTGCACTATCGAATAATGCACTCCTGGAATTTTTGCTGGAGGGGGCACCCAGGATGAAGGAGCACCTCATTGACTCCAGAAAACATGTGGATTCGAAGCTCAAAGCTGCTTGCCAGATGTTGATTCAGCACTGCACGAAGTTGCTCGTTGATCCCATCGATAAATTACTTGGATCCAATACCAATGCTAGTAGTGCTAGTCCTCAAAAGACCATCCATCAATCAACTAAAGTCCATCCTCAAGTTGTGGCTCAAGTTGTCAGTGAAGTACTGAGACTCATCAAGTTCCAGCTGCCCAGTATTCAACAGTCGATGCAATTGTACTTGGCTAATCGAGAGACTGAATCCATCTTGTTTAGACCCATTAGGAATAATATTGTCGGAATTTTCACACAATTGTCCCAGTGGCTGCATGGAAATTACTCCAGCGAGGAGCAGCTGCTCATAGCTTGTCCTCTACCTGAACAGGTGTCCATCATGTTGAGCTCTTCGAGTCTTGCACACACCTCCAATTATTCTTCAACTCAGGAACATCATCCCCCGGTTACCACTGCTGTAGCTGGTACTGCTACTATCTGATTATGGTCAAAGGAATCGTAATTCGTAAATCGAGGAAAATCATCTAGGGAAATGATTCTGAAAAGTCAACGTGAATGGATGGCAAGGTTTTCACAATTTAATAATCAATCATTTATGTTATATTCTTATATATTTATTTATAAACAAAATATACAGGATGAAATAAATACTTTTCAAATTGTTGAACTTCTAAGTAACAAATGTAATAGTGTAAAAATGTAATATATATTTCTGATTATTAGAGACAGCCGAAGAATTTTGAATTCATCTTCCTTTGCAATTTCTCTGCCTTGAGTAAAAAAAAAGCATGGATCTGAAAGTATGGTGGCGGAGAGCATGCAAAAAAAAAAGTGTTACGCGTGGTGAATTCAAGGATGCGCCCTCATGTAAACGTTCATGACGGCGGAGTACACGTATTTTATGTAAGTGTCCGAAAAAAAAAAGGCCCAGGGAAGGATTGAACCTACATCCTTACGCACTTAGACCCGACGCTTTAACGACGGGCTAACTGGGACCTGGGACGCCTGAATTTATTTAAGCATACTAGCGTATATAGCGAAAGTTTAAAAATTCCCCCAAAAAAAATGGAGAAGGTATTCACTGAAATTTGAAAATTCGAAATTTCAAAAGAAAAAGCGAGGACGTATTCATTGGAATTGAAAAATTCGAAATTTTGAAAAAAGTATCAGAGGGACATGAAAATCGAGGAGGTATTCCCTTTTAAAAACGATATAAAGATGGTGGCGGAAAATCCAAAACTCAAGTTTTCTCTTATGTAAAAATCCTGATCTGAGTTCCTCAACGTCTCCATGCAACTTATCTCATATATGGGTAATAAAGAAATAAAATTATTTTGGTGTTGAAAAATATCTTTATTTACTTCTTTCAAGTGTAAAAAAAAATTACAAAATTCGTATTTACGATTATGAAACAGTAGCATTGTAAATATCGAGGTAATTTCATTGGATTATCACGCATGTCCTTGAACTGCGTGACTCGTCTAGGCGTCCCTGCGATAAATCTTGGACAAGAATTTGAAAAATAAGTCGTGCGGAAGACCTCGGGATATTTGTTGTATGTGGGTGTTCATGAGGTTGTAACTCTCCTCCTCATAAATCGCGTATGTTGTTGGCAATCCCAAATCGTCGTATAACTGTTTGACCCGTGCCACTTTTTCCACCTCGTCAAATCCATAGCAATCCTTGAATGAATACAAAAATTCAATAAACCCAGCCGCGAATGGGTAATACCCATTATGTTTAACACATAATTCGGATTATGTTGTAAAAATTGGGACAAGTGGACACTGACCTTCAGAACTTGTCGTTGTGCTGGAGTGGCTCTTTGGAGAGCAACAACAGCTAGCCATGAGCATTTCCCTTCCTGTATATCAGTTCCATTTTTTCCAGTGACACCTGGATCTCCATAGCAGTCTAAATAATCATCTTGGACCTGGAAGAAATGCCCCATTTCAAGCAAAATTGTTTTTGCCTGGCGATGCATCTCAGGATCAGTCACTCCAGCCTAGAAAATAGTACGTCATGCAAATGCCATGTGTGAGTCTGAATTTGGTATTGAATGAATAATTATTCATCAAATTATTACTCACAAAATACATAGCTAAAGTCACTGGCATAACGAATGAGTAATAGGCTGTTTTGTATTTAACAATAGCGTTGTATCGATCCATTGTAAATAAATTTAAATTGGGTTTACTTCCAAAGTTGGTGGAGAGAAGGTCTAGAGTTTGTCCCATGGTAGTTTTCATGGTGGTCTGTGGGATTAAAAATATAAAAATCCAAGAGAATAAAAAATATAAAAATCCAAGTTGCATACCTCGTGGAAGGTCTCCAGGAGATCAACGTAACATGTTTCCTTCTTAAAATGGGTGCGCAATAGTTGATACAGGGCTTGTTCCAATATGATACCATCATTGATAGCAGCTAAGCCGATGTTATTGTGAAGGTACCAGCAGGGCTGGCCCCTTCGGGTTTTCGAGCGGTCCATAATGTCGTCTTCCACCAGGAAAAATGCTTGATGCTGTACGAGAAAACATTTTTTTCCTAGCATTTTTTTTTTCATAAATCATAATATTTATGATGAAACGTACCAATTCAGTACACCAGCCCAGTATCCGGGCCATTCTCAAATTTGATTCAGTGAGATGTTCAGGAGACACTAATTTACGGTAAGCATACACTAGGGCTAGGCCACGATTTTTTTTTCCATTTGGAACATTGGATTGTAGTACCTGCAACATAACCATTTCAATGACCTTCTACATAAAGCTTTATATGATTGAATTTACCTTAGCCATCCATTTAGTCGCATCAGGAATGTCTAGATGACGTCCAGCCTCAGTTAAATCCCTTACAATATCTGGCCAGAGTCCCATCATCTCACGACTCTCGTCTCTGCTGGACACCCAATTTTTTTGGGCCATACTGTGGGTCATTCTTACAGATCTAAAAAGAGAATCTCCCTCAATTTTTTCTCTTGGATGTCTAAATCTCTGAACGTCTCCACGTACTGACACATTCTTTCAAAATGGTATTATATTGGCCACAAACTCATCAATATGTAAGAATCACGTCTAAAAATAAGTTTCAATGGTCACGAGTTCAAGACTTAGAGGTTGAAGATGAAAATGATAAGTATCGGTCTATTATCATTTTGTTCTTACAATGGCAGGTATTAATCCATCATAATTAATCTAGCATCTTTATCAGTGATGGCATTGAAATAATTGTCATTTGTTAACCAAACAACTTTTGCTGTATTCATGTAAATTGATAAGACTGGAAATAACTGAGACTGCATTTAATTAATCCTGAAAATGAATTTCAACTGAGGAAAAATATTCACCCCATGGATTCTAGAATACTGAGCAGCGAGGTAAAAATATTTCTAATTGATAATGAAGAAGTGCGTGAAAAATTAAAAGTTTAAAATCATAATGTTCACTTCCGCGGAAATACTTTGACGTTACATACAATTTTGAATAATTCATGAATTATTCTTCTCACTAGAGTATTGAACTACCTGATCCCAAAATTAGTGAATCAGTACGAGACGTTGTGAAAACAAAAATTACCCATCGTGGAATGCAAACCGTGATACACTGTCCTCCCCAAGCGTCAAAAATCGAATTCATTAACTTGATAAAAAATCATAAGATGTGAACAATCCAAATGAAATAAAATTATGAGGCAAAATGGTAATTGTGAGAGCAGAAATAATCGTGGAAGCAAAAATTTATAAAACGAGAAAATAATAGGAAAAAATGAAAAAAAAAAGTGAACATGATATTTTTTTATTCCTGCACATCCGGTTGTAGTAAATGTCTCTTAATACCCACCTCATCTGGTGATCTTGGTCGTATCCACTGGGTAAACCATGAATAATGCTGCACGTAAAACGTCGCATGATACCTCCATCAGCTGTAAAACGCTGCAATCCATTTTGGAGCAAATATCTCACTGAACTCCTCATGATTGGCACTGCGGTATCTCCAAACTAATGTAACCTATTGCATTCACAAAAATTCACTTTCTGTTGAGAGAGAAAAAATTAATTTCTTTAAGAAGTTCCAACTTTCTCCCACCATATCATATTTTTCGATATAAAATATAAAATATTTATAGGAACTTGTAACTTCGAAATCTATATTTCACATTATTCACATTATTATATATTCATTGACGAATATTTCGTAAATATTCACGAATAGATTTTCCATTTTTGCACGTAAAATTTCTTCTGGATACAATTTTTTTAACGAGGAGAAATGAGGCCACATTATACTCACATACTAAAGATTGAATAGATGGTAAACAAATTCCTCGTAATGGGAAATGGCCACTTGCATTCGATGATTACAGCTGATTACGAATATCTAACATACGTGCGCATTTTCACCGATCAACAACACATGACGTAGTATATCTTTGTGTTTATACAATCATGTCATATGTGTACTATTTCAATACCATCTGACATGACCTCGAAATTAGTCGAGAGTGGAGGACGCAAAAAGGGTTGATTAAAGTAGAGGCTCAGTTCTGGGGGTTTAAGTGACCCCAGCTGCATCGTAGTACTGCACCTCAAGAGAGGGAGGGCGCAACACGCAATGCTGGGGTGTCCATCAAGTCGACGGTGTAAATTTTATTATCTGCTGTACGAATGCTCTTTGTTTTTCATTTGTTTAACTGAAATTTAGTTGACTGTAGCACGTACGGAAGGGGGAAACCACATCTTGTGGAATTTTAATGGAAAAAATTATTCAATCTATTGAATATATACCACTAATGAATTTATATTTTTAAATG